TTAAGTCTAAATTTAACAAAATATGTGCAAGATCACTATGCTGAAACTACAAAATGAAATAAAAAACACCTAAATGAAGAGACATATATTATGTCCATGAATTTAAAAACTTAATATTGTTAAGATGTCAATTCTCCCAAACTGATCTATAGCTTCAATGTAATTGTTATCAAATTTTCAGAGGATGTATTACAGAAATTAATAAGCTGATTCTAAAACTTGTATAAAAGGCAAAGAAACAAGAGCAGCCAAAACAATTATTTCAAAAAAAGAGGGTAGAGGGTTAACACCACCTGATTTGAAGACTTACATAAAGCTATAGTAATCAGTGGGCTATTGGCAAATAGATAAAAATACAAGTAAGTAGAAGAAAATAGTACAGAAATAAATCCACAATTACATGGTCAATTGATTTTCAACAAAAGTACAAAGCAAAATCAGTGAAAAGAAATTTTCAATAAATGGTGCTGAAAGAGTTAGATATCTATAATTTTAAAAAAACCTCAATCTATACTCTGCACTATTTATAAAAATTAACTCAAAATGGATCATAGACACAAATGTAAAACATAAGTATAAAACTTCTAGAAGAAAACATAAGAGAATATCTTTGTAACATTGGGTTAGGCAAACAGCCCTTAGATGTGATTCATAAAAGAAAAAAACTGATAAACTGGATTTCATAAAAATTATAAATATCTGTTCTTCAAAAGCCACTGTTAAAAGCATGAAAAGACAAGCCTCGGTCTGAGAGCAAACATGTGCAAACTACCTATCTGATAAACATTATCTTGTTTCCAGAATACAGAATATATGAAAATACTCTCAACATTTAATAAGAAAACATTAGATGCTCCATTAAAGAAGGTATAGAGATTGTGATAATAACATGAAAAGATGTTCCACATCAATAGTAATTTGGAAAATGCAAATTAAAACAAGATATCACTGCACATTCACTAGAATAGCTTTAAAAAGAAAAAAAAAACTGAAAATACTGAGTGCTGATGTGGATGTGGAGTAAGCTTTCATACTTTGTATATGGAAATACAAATGGTATAACTACTTTGAAAAACATTTTGGCAATTTCTAATAAAATTAAATATATACTCACAATAGTATCCAGCAATCCCACTCCAAGGTACTTACACAAGTGAAATAAAAACTTCTTCACACAAAACCCTCTAGGCAAACATTTATAGCAGCTTTATTTGTTAGAGCCAAGAAATGGAAAACCCAAACGTCCTTCAATTGGTGAATGGATGAATAAAGTATGGCATAAGCACAGAATTTAATACTACTCATCAATAAAAAGAAAGAGACACACAACAACATGGATAAATCTCGAAAACATTATACTAAATGAAAAAAGGCCAAAGTTTACATACTGTATGACTCCATTTATATGACATTCTAGGAGAGACAATAGTATAGGAAGGAAAAAGAAGATTAATGGTTGCCAGAAATAAGGAGTGGAAAAAGTGGTTTACTACAAGTGGTTTACCACAAAGTCAAGCTGAATTTGTAAAGGTGATTAAACTGTTCTAATTCTTGATTGTCATGGTGGTGGTTACATGACCATTTTCATTTGTCAAAATTATGAGAACTTTATACTAAAAAACGGTAAATTTTAGTGTATGTGAATTATACACTAATTACCATGCAAACACTAGTCAAAACAAAACTGGAACAGCTGTATTGTTATCAAAGTAGACTTCCAACAAGGATGATTAACAGATATAGAAGAGGAACATTACATAATGATAAGAGAGTCAATTTATCAAGAAATCAAACAATCATAAACGTACATGCATCCAATAGTAGATCTTCAAAATACACAAAGTAAAATGTAATAGAACTGAAAGTAGAAACAGGCAAATCCATAATTACATTTGTATACTTCCATACTCTTCTCTCATTTAGGATATCTGTATCTATATCAGTAAGGATATTAATATCTATATCAGCAAGTACATTGAAGAACACTATAAAATGACTTAATTGACATTTATAGAATACTCCAACAAGAGCAGAATACACATTCTTTTCAAGGCTCATGGAACATTCACCAACGCAGACCACGTTTTGAGTCATAAAGCAAACCATATAAAAGTATGTTCTCTAACCACAATAGAATTAACTTACAAATCAGTAACAAAAAGACAGCTAGAAAAATCTCCAAAACTATGGAACTAATCAATAACTTTCTTAATAGTGCATGGGTCAAAGGGAAACACAAAGGAAATTTTTAAAATATTAAGAATTGTATAAAAGTTAAAATATAACACTTGAAATGTATATGAATCAAAAAGTGTTTTTGACACAGTATTTTGTTGAAAAGAAGATCTTAAATCAATACTAAGTTTCTACCTTAAAAAATGCAAAAAGAAGAGCAAATTAAACACAAGAAAATATTAGGTAAGAGCAGAAATCAATGAAATTAAAACAGAAAAGCAATAGAGAAAAAAACAATGAAATCAAAAGCTGGTTCTCTGAAAAGATCAATAAAGTGCATAAATCTCTAGCTAGAATGATCAAGAAAAAGAAGTACATTACCAAAAGCAGCAGAGAGATCACTGCTATACATCCTACAGATATTAAAAATATAGGAGTATTTTGAACTTTATGCCAATAAATTTGATAACTGAGATGAAATGAACAAATTTCTTTGACAGAAAAACATTACCGAAGCTCTCTCCTAAAAAATATATAACCTGAATAGTCCCATATCTATTAAAGAAATTGAGTTTGTACTTAAAAACCTGCCAGCAAAGAAAAATCCATGACCAGGCTGCTTCACTATTACATTCTAGCAAACATTTAAGAAAGAAATAACACTGACTCTATACAAAATATTCCAGGAAATATTTCCCAACTCATCTGAGGCCAGCATAACCCTGACACCAAAAACAGACGAAAGCATTGCAAATAAAAAAAACAAACTATAAACCAACATTCTTCATGAACAGAGACGAGAAAGTCTTTAACAAAGTATTAGCAAACTGAATCCAGCCAAATATAAAAAGGTTAACCATGTGGGATTTATCTCATGATCATGTGGGATTTATCCCAGGAATGCAAAGTTGCTACAATATTCCAAAATTCAATCAATGTAGTCTATCATATCAATAATAAAATTATGGGTTATGAAAGCCAGAAATTAAGGGTAGGTTAGTGGTACTGCAAATGTAATAATACAGGTGCCCAAAAGGCAATGCAACCTTGAGCTGGACTAACATATAAAAAATCTAGATACAGAGATTTTACCTTCCAGACATTCCGTGTGGCCCTGTTCACACGACACCTGGAATATTCTATTTAGTCCTGAATTCTATACTTCTGGGAGGGCCAATGCATTTTCACCACAAACCAAAGCAATAATAGCAAAGAGTTCTAAATATCTTATGTCTTCAAGGACGTTAAGAAACTAGAAATGTTTAACCTTCAGAAGAAAGGACCTAGGCAGCATACACCACACTTCAATTATTTGCTTTTATTCTATATACCCTGAACACTGTCAATTCCCTGATGGCAGTATCCATGCTCTATTTATTTTTGTATTCCAAACATCTATCACTGGTCCTGGAATCTGGTAAGTACTTAAATTTATGAGAGGTTCAAAAGCAGTAAAAGCTAAACTTTAATAATAGAAATCAAAAAGTAGTTGCTCTACAGTGGGGAAGGGAGAAAGAACTGATTAAAAGGGGCATTACAGCATTGTTAAATTTTGTAGCATAACATGTCAAATGTGTCCCTTTACCACATAGCTATAAACTTTGTATATCAGCCTAGATTGGGCATGGGCCAATTCTTGATTGGCGTGTACTAATTATAATTGTTCTGGACTGGGAAGCAATCAAACCACTGGGTTTGACTCAAAGAAGTATGGAAAGAATTTGGAAAGACAATCATGATACCCACTAGCCCCACCTAACTAGCCAAATCACCTTGGTGATTAAATGAAGTGATAGATATCACAGCAAGATGATTCTCATGCCCAGATATGGTGTAAGAACTATTAACAATTATGTTAAATATTGGCAGAATTACATCTAAATTTCACAAATAATCTAAATTACAGTTGTATTGTCCTTTCGATGAAAAATGTATTCCTGAAAAACTCTCCGAAAATAAATTCCTGAGAGCCAATCATATTTTCTAACAACTTGCATGATAACGTCAAAGAGTAAAAGAAATACCCCAAGTAAACAAAACAATTTATTGATAAAATCAACTTTAAAACTCTTAGCAGACAACAAGAATACATGTGCTTGCTGTAAAGGAAGTATAGCCTAGTGACAATAACTCAGGTATGCAGACAAGAGCTATACACAAGACCATGAGCAAGTCATGCCCCTCCCACTCAGCCTTGGTTTCCTTATCTAGAAAATAATAAAATAGATGCTCTCTTCTGATAAAAAGTATTTTCTAATGCCTGATGAGTAGCTAGGACACTCAGTCCATTAGACATGGGAGAATAGCTAATATACGTAGTTACCTACAACCAGATGCAAACCCTTCTAAGACTTTATAGGTTAACAAATTAAGGAATCCTGTTCCTCTAAATAAAATATATATCATGTCTCTATCAGAGTGTAAAATACAATTCTTTACAGCATAGGTCCTCACTGAGTTAAGCTTCCCAGACACAATTTTTATAAAACTTCACACTTACTTAACACACAAATGAGATTATTTGAGGCCTGTTATGTACTTATGGGAATTTTAGAGTGGTTTTTCCACAAGTAGAAAATGACTACATGTTTGCATAATAACAAACTCCATTAAAACACATTTACAGGTAAAATCAATTCCCTAATATCTAACAACTCCTTAAAATAAAAGCTAGATATGGCAGAACATTTAGACTTAAACTGCTTTTACCAACAATCACATTTTTAAAAAGCTCTAATCTCTAATCCATATAAGAACAGAATAAAGAAACCATAAGGCAGAGAAATCTGTGCAAATATACACATATAATGAAATTGTATACAGACCTTTTTTTAGCCGGGGTTTTTGAGATTCAGCAGATGCAGTAAACTGAGTTCTCTGAAATGAAATAAGTCTATGTTAAAGCACCACCATAAATCTTGCTAATTTAAGGAAGCATTCAAATAATAATCATCAGTAGCTCTCTAATCATGTAATTAATCCATTAACTGCATACAGTTCCAAAAAACTATTTTGAATATAGTTTAAAAACAAATGTCAAGTCGTAGTTTTGTTATACAAACTATTAAAAATATAAAATATTTACAATATATACTTATAATGTATATTTATAATGTATAATTATAATGCATGATAAAATGTGCACATGTACCAAGTTCTTAGACACTACATATTAGTATCATACTTAATGCTATACTTAGCAGCCAAACCAAAAAAAGTGATAACTTTAATGGAGCTTATGAGGTCTAGAAACTGCCTAGCACTCAATACTCAGAGTTTTTATTTAAGAGACACATACATAATAGATAATACTTTACACTATGACTTTGGAGAAAATCTTCATATATATTTTTCTTATCTCTACCTCCTATGTTTGATACATGACATGAGCAAAAATAATGGTTGAAAATTTCCAGAAGTAATGAGAGACTAATCTTTAGATTCTAGATGTTCAACCAATCCTGAGCACGTTAAATGAAAATAAATCCACATTTAGATACATCACAAAGATCTGCACCAGAGACAATAAGTTCTTAAAAGCAACCAGAGAAAAACATATCACTATATTACCTACAAAGGACAATTAGATTGATAGCTGACTTCTCAACAATTAAAAATAGAATACAGTATCACATTAAGACATAAAAACAATTACTCCCAAGTGTCGCTAAGTAAAATGACTGTTAATCTTGACACAAGGTCAGCAAAAACTATGCTCCACAGGTCAAATCCAGTCTGTTTTTATACAGCCCACAAGCTAAAAATGGTTTTTACACTTTTTAAAGGTTTAAAAAAATTTAAAAATATTTCATAACACATGAAAATTACATAAAATTAAATTTGGTGTCAACAAAATTTTATCAGAACACAGTCACACTCACATGTTTACATATTGTCTGTGGTTGCTTTTGCACGACAACAGCATAGTTGAGTTACCTGAGAGAAAGACTATATGGACCATGAAGCCCAAAATACTAAGTACAGGCCCTGTGAAAAACAGTTTGCCAACCCCTGATCAAAATTCTTAGACCAGTCAAAACTAATTTTCAAGAACAATGGCAAATTAAAATGACTTCCAAATAAAAATTCAAAGTTTCTAGACTTACTAAATAAACTTTTAAAGGATATGTACATTAGGAAAAAGGAAAATAGCCCCAGAATGAAGGAGTGGAACAAGAAAAGGAAGTAGTAAAATATGAAAATATTCTAAGTATCTAGTAACTAAATAAAATAAATACACAACAATTATAATTTGTTATACACCAATGATGAACTTTCGGAAAGAGATATTAAGGAAACAATCCCATTTACGATTGCATCAAAAACAATAGAGTACTGGGCATCAAATTAACCAAGGAGGTAAAAGACGTGTTGTCAGAAAATTATAGATCACTGAAAAAAGAGAGTGAAGATACAAACAAATGGAAGCATATACATGCTCATGGGTTGGAAGAATCAACATCATTAATATGGCCATACTACCCAAAGCAATCTATAGATCCGATGCAATCCCTATCAAAATACCAATGGCATTTTTTAGAGAGCTAGAACAAAGAATCCTAAAATTTATATGGAACCATAAAAGACCCCGAGTAGCCATGGCAATCTTGAGAAAGAAGAACAAAGTTGGAGGTGTCATACTACCTGATATCAAACTATAATACAAGGCTACAGTAATCAAAACAGCATGGTATTGGCATAAAAACAGATACTGATTAATGAAATAGAATAGAGAGCTCAGAAATAAATCCATGCCTATACACTCACTTAATATATGACAAAGAAGGCAAGAATACACAATGGGGTAAAGAAAGTCTCTTCAATAAGTGGTGCTGGGAAAATTGGACAGGTACTTGCAGAAGAGAAACTGGACCACTTTCTTACACCATATACTAAACTCAAAATGGATTAAAGATTTAAATGTAAGACCTAAAACCATAACATTTCTAGAAGAAAACATAGGCAGTAAACTCTGATATTGCTAACAGTAATTTCTTTTCAGATATATCTCCTCAGGCAAGGAAAACAAAAGAAAAAATAAACAAATGGGACTACATCATACTAAAAAGTTTTTGTACAGAAAAGGAAACCATCAACAAAACAAAAAGACAACCAACTGAATGGGGAAAGATATTTGCTTATGATGCATCTAAGAAGTTAATATCCAAAATATTTAAAGAACTCATACAACTCAACAACAAAAAAACAAACAATCCAATTAAAAAATGTACAGAAGACCTGAACAGATATTTCTCCAAAGAGGAAATAGGGATGGCCAATAGACACATGAAAAGATGCTCAAGGTCACTAATCATCAGAGAAATGCAAATTAAAATCACAATGGGATATCACCTCACACCTGTCAGAATGGCTATTATCAATAAATCAAAGAACAAGTGTCAGCAAGAATGTGGAGAAGGGGGAATCCTCATACACTGTTGGTGGGATTGCAAATTGGTAGAGTCTGTAGGTTTCTCAAAAAATTAACAATGGATATACTTTTTGACCCAGCAACTGCACTTCTGGGTATTTATCCAAAGAAAACCAAAACAATAATTTCTAAAGATCTATGCACCCCTATGTTCATGGCAGCACAACTTACATTAGCCAAGATACGGAAGCAACCTAAATGCCCATCAACAGACGACTGGATAAAGAAGTTATGGTTCATATATACAATGGACTATTATTTAGTCATTAAAAAAAAGTGAAATCCTACCATTTGCAATGACATGGATGGACCTAGAGGTTATTATGCTGACTGAAATAAGTCAAAGATAAATACCGTATGATTTCACTTATATGCTGAATCTAAGGAACGAAAAGAACAAACTAATCAAAAACAGACTCACAAATATAGAAGACAATCTGGTGATGGCCAGAAGGGAGGGAGGATGGGGGGGCCAGGAGAATGGGGTGAAGGGTTAAAGAAGTACAAATTAGTAGTTGATAAATGGTCACAGGAATAAGGAGCACGGCATAGAGAATGCAGTTAGCATTAATGTTATGGCTAGGCGGAGAGCCAGAGGAGAAAAATGTCTAGCCAATTTACTGTACACATGAAACTAATAATAAAATTTTTTAAATAGTAAAATTTGTGGTGTTGAATTGAGAAATATAAAAACTACAAAACTGAACAACAATGGTATGAACTGGCAGAAGGCAATAGGTAATAAAACATTCAATGATCCTTATGTTATTCAGATTTAAGTTTAAACTTTATGTATGTATTATTTTAAAAACTGGGGTACACACTAAAGGAAGACTAAAGAATAGAGTATATAACTTACAAGGAATGAAATGAGATGAGCACAAGGGAGAGAAAAATAAACTCAGCCAAAGGTAGGGAGGGCAAGGAAAAAAAGAAGAGAAAAATGAAACTGTCCAATTAAGAGACAGATTACGAGGATAATTTTTTTTTTAATCTAAATGTATGCTATTTGTAGAGACACATCTAAAACATAAGGAAAAAGAAAAACAAAGTAAAATAATACACTAGGGAATACACAAAGCAAAAGATACACTAGGGAAATAGAAACAAAAAGAAAACCAAAGTAGAAATATTAACATATGACAAAATAGACTTCAAGACAAAAAGCTTTATCAGGGAAATTAAATTAAATTTAATAAACTGAAGACTAAAATGGCAAAGGCAAATTTTAAATCCTTTAGAAAAAATATAAGATTTATGTCAAACAAGATATAAAACACAAATCAATTAAGAAAAGATATAACAGAAAGAGAAATTAAGAAAACCCATTTACAATTGCATCAACAAGAATAATATACCTACAAATAAATTTAACCAAGAGGTAAAAGACACATACTGGAAAAACCGAAGACACTGAAGAAACTGACGAAGATACAAATAAATAGAAGGATATACCTCACTCATGGATAGGAAGAATTAACATCATTAAATTGTCCACATTACCCAAAGCAATTCACAGAGTCAATGCAATCTCTATCAAAATACCAATGGCATTTTCACAGAACTGGAACACATAATCTTAAAATTTATATGGAACCACAAATGACCCTGAACAGCCAAAGTAATCTTGAGAAAGAAACATAAAGTTGGAGGTATCACAGTCCAGATGTTAAACTGTACTACAAGACTATAGTAATCAAAACAGCATGGTACTGACATAAAAACAGATACCTTGATTAACGGAACAGAATAGAGAGCCCAGATATAAAACCACACTTATATGATCAAAATTTGCCTTTGCCTATGACAAAAGAGGCAAGATTATACAGTGGGGTAAAAACAGTCTTGTCAATAAATGATGCTGGAAAAATTGGACAGATACACGCAAGGAAATGAAACTAGACCCTTTTCTTATACCATATACAAAAATAAACTCAAAGTGGATTAAAGACGTAAGTGTAAAACTTGAAGCCATAAAACTCCTCGAAGAAAACATAAGCAGTAAACTCTGTGACACTGCTCTTAGCAATATTTTTTTAATACGTGTCCTTAGGCAACAGAAACAAAAGAAAAAATACATGGGAGTACATTTAACTACAGCTTCTGCACAGCAAAGGAAACCACCAACAAAACAAAAAGACAACCCACTGAATGGAAGAAGATATTCACCAACAATATATTTGATAAGGGGTTAATATCCAAAATATATAAGGAACTCATACGACTTCACATCAAAACAAAACACTGTAACTCCATTAAAAAATGGGCAGATGCCCCGAACAGACATTCTCCAAAGAGGACATACAGATGACCAATAGACATATGAAAAAATTCTCAACAACACTACTAATCAGAAAAATGCAAATCAAACTCATAATGAGATATCACCTCACTGCTGTCAGAATGGTTATCATCAAACAACAAGTGTTGTACAGAAAAGCATAAATTGTTAGAAACAACTTAGAGTTTCCCATAAGTAATAAAGTTGAAGATGTACTAACCATGACCCCACAATCCATTTGTAGAAATACTCTAGAGAAACTCTTACATCAGGAGACACATATAAGGATGTTCATAACCAGGTCTGAGACACTCTTACTCTCAATATTTTGTCTAACCCTATTCCTAGCCCTGTTCGTAGCAGCATTCTTTTTAATAACTAAATATCACAAGGAAAATAAAAGTTGAACTTATAGAGAGTAGAAAAGTGGTTTCCAGGGGTTTGGAGGTAAAGGAAATAGCTTTCAGCTATAGAATGAATAAGGTCCAAGGATCTAATGTATAGCATGCTGACTATAGTTGATAAAACTGTACTGTAAAACTGAAATTTGCTAAGAGAGTAGAACTTAAATGTTCTCACCAAAAACCAAAAAGAAAAAGAAAAAAAAAGAAGGGGATGGAGTTGGAGGTGACGGATGTGATAATTATATTGATGGTGGGAATCCTTTCACAATGTATATGTATATCAAATCATCACATATACTTTAAATACCTTACAATATTATTTGTCAATAATACCTCAATAAAGCTAAAAAAAAAACACACACACACACAAAACAAAAACAAAAAACCAAATCTCTATCTAGTAGATTGGATAAACTAACTAGTATTTTCCTATAATGGGATATGATACATCATTGAAAAATGAACAAACTAAACATTAGTTTTTAAAAACCAATATATTATTTAGGGGTATTAGATATGGTAAAACTTTAAAGAAAAGTAAAAGAATAGCTTAAAATTGAGAAAGATTACTTCTGATGGGGAAGGAGGAAAAATGCAGCAGGAAAGATATAGTTAGGAGGTTTCAAAGTTATTGTTCATGACCCATTTTCTAATCTGTGAAGTAAGAACACAAGTTTCCATTATATTGTTCTTATAAATCTACATATTACCTTTTATTCATTCTTTTAGAGGTAAGACATTTCATAACAACAAAAATCAATCAATCCTTGTTCTCTTAGCTATTTTATTGTCTTGATTTACCAAACGCAGGAAACTTAATAAAACAACCCATTTAAAAATGGGCAAAAGATTTGTAGAGACACCTCAGCTTAATTATACACAAGTACCATTACTGATGAATAAGCACATTAAAAAATACTCAGTATCATTATTTATTGGGAAAATACAAAAAATAAAACCAAAATAACCATTAGTACACATCCACAATGGCTGAAATAAAAAAGACAATAGCAACTGTTGACAAAGATGTGAAAAAACTGAAACCCTCATGCATTGCTCATGGGAATGTGAATGGCATACAGCAACCTTAGAAAACGGTTTGGCAGGATTTTTAAAAAACTTACACTTACCATACAACCCAGCAATTCCACTCCTAGAGAAATGAAAACACATCCCTGCATAAACTTGTATGCCAATATTCATAACATTATTCATAATAGCCAAAACCAGAAAACAATCCAAATGTCCATCAATTGATGGATAAACGAAATGTGTGTATTCATACAATGGAATACTGCTTAGAAATAAAAAAAAGAACTACTGTTACATCTAACAACATGGATGAAGCTCAGAAAACATGCTAAATAAAAGACACAGAAGACTACATATTATACGATTCCATTATGGAATGGAATTGCTAGAAAAGGCAAAACTATGGAGACAGAAAGCAGATCAACAGTGGACTGGAGTTATCAGTAGGTACTGGCTACAAATGAACAGAGAGAACTGTTTAGAATGATGGGACATAAGTTGTAGTGATGGCTGTGCAACTATATAAAGTTACCAAAAATAAACTACATACTTAAAATGGGTAAATTTTATGGTAGTATATATATTATACTACAACAAAGCTATTTTTAAAATGCTAGAAAAACTATTGATTTCTGATCTGTGATTTTTAACTTTAGGGAACACAATAAGGAATCTTAAAGGTTCAAAAAGTATCTTCATAGTCTACAGCCATGCCATCCTGAACTTGTCCGATCTTGTCCGACCTCGGAAGCTAAGCAAGGTCAGGCCTGGTTAGTACTTGGATGGGAGACCACCTAGGAAGATCAGGTGCTGTAGGCATTTTTTTAAAAAAAGCATCTTCATAAAGCAGCAACACTTCTTCCTACACGAAGGAGAATTAAAATTAACTACATTTTTTTGATGGGTCTCTCAAAAGACTTCTGAACATTCTGAGATGGAAAGGATTCTATTAGACCACTTCATCTCATTTATATCTGGGATGAATGCAGAGTGTAGAATAAGGTGTGTTTTTTTTTTTTTTTGGTTCTTTCTTCATTTTTACCTAGTTCTGTGATTGTTTATGCACCTAACAAATATTCATGTAACTCCTGACATATGCTAGGCACTCTATCTGAACCAAATCAATTAGTGCAGTAGTAATTTTTGGTTTATGTTCTAAAAGATTTAAACTTTACTGGGAGAGTTGTTTATACAAATACATCAAATAATAGGGCTACAAAAAATTTATAAGTATAAATCATAAAAACCAGAGCTATTTGCTGTTTTTAAAAGATATGTAAACCATTTATTATATATTCTTAAATAAAATATAAGTATCATTCCCCATTTTTCCTAAGGAACTAGTAATAATCCTAAATAGTTTGGGTAGCACATTAGAATGTCCGTATGTTCTACAATGAGCTGGTTTCACTTCATTTTGATGGAATGCCTCCTGGCCTCAAGACCTTTACTGCAGCATAGACTTTCACTTATGCATTTGTTCAAAGTTCTCTCTGTGAGTTTTAAGTCTTTGTTTCTCTACATCTATATACCCGTATCTACAGATAGGGGGTTTTTTGTGTCACGAAATTAAGATCACATTATACCCCACTCCACATCTAGCTATTATTTAAATATATACCATGGAAATCAATAGATATAGTGCAAACATTCTTTTTAATGGCTGCATAATATTCCTACATATGTAAATATCAGAGGTTATCCATTATCCTACTATTGGGCATTCACTCTGTTTCCAGCTTTTCTGCCACAATAAACAGTACTGCAGTACTACCCTTGTACTATATGCTTCTATTTTGCTTTTATTTTGATAGGATTAGGAGTAGGACTGTTGGGTCATTTTATTACAAGACACCAGATCGTTCCCAAAAAGGACAGAAATTCAAATTTCCATGCAGTGGTAACTTTAAAAGATAAAATTACTATAAATGTAACACTGTTAGCAATAAACTTGATAATAATAAAAATAATTAAACTTCAGGCTCCAGTGCTAAAGTCATATCAAAACAAGAAAGCCATTCTCTTTAAAATACTATTAAAGATTCAAAAGCACAGGACAATTCTGCCATCAGAGAAATCAAGTTCACATTCTATTCATGAACACCTAGCTATACCGGCAATGAGCACTAGAGAGTAAGCTATATTTGAATCAATGTCATCTCACCATAATACCTTACATTTAAGATTATGTAGGTGGAGTATTTTATTCTGTATGTTTCCAATATCTAAAACCTAGTCACTAATTATACTATTTAATTTTTTTTTAATTCACAGCTTAAAAAAAACTTTGCATTGGGCCTGCTCTGTACTCAGTTTCCCGATTACACTAAAATAATGTGATTGCTCTGCAAATACAAGAGAACAGAAAACAAACAGGCCCCCTGAAAGATAATATTCACCGTGCTCCTTAACAGCCAAAAGTAAGTTGTAAAACAATCAGCAAAAGACTATTTCGTGTCCTATGTTTTTCAGGGTGTTTTTCAGAAGGCAATGCATTCCGAATAAAGTCTTTCTAACAAATGCGCAGAACAATACTAAAATAAGGTAAAGTCTCACACTTGGAACTTTATACAAGTTATATCCAATTATTAATATACGCCTCAAAAATAACTACTACTGGGTCTTCCCGAATTCACTTGGGAGACTTTGTAATTGCAAATCTGTGGAATTTAATCAACGCTTAACTCAGACCAGCTGAATCACTAGAGACCTTCCCTAAACTTAATCACAACAGAGAAAACATAGTCCCGCCCCAACAGCAGAAAGTAGTGACGCTGAAAGCTCCCTGGCTTTGTCCTATTCAATTCCTAATCCAGATTAACAGGATCTCTCTACACAAGTGCTTTTCCAAACACAATGAGAAAAAATGGGTCTAGGAAAAGTGCCATTTATGATGAAAATCTCCCGTTCCCGTAGAGCGCACCTCAAGAGGGACCAGAGTCCTAGCACAGGCCCAGCGCTGCAAAGAATTCAGCCCTCCTCCGAGCGGACCAGGTCCCTGGGGTGGACCGTGTTTTCCCGCCCACTCCGAACCGCTAGACCCGGCTTCGCACTTTTCCAAGGGCAGCTGCGTAGGACAGAAGCCTCCAGCCGGCTTACCAGCCTGCCCCGCCTCTCTGCTCTGCTCTGCTCCGCTCCGCCCCGCGGGGTCCTGCCTGGTCCAGCCAGGCGCTGGGGCCAGGACACTAAACAATGTCTCCGCTTACCCTCTGAAGTCTCTCCTCAGCCATCTTAGCTCCGCCCACTGTGGCGCGGCCGGAAGTCAGCCGTTTCCCAGGCGACCAGGCAAACGGAAGTGGCAGGTCTGGGGAAGTGGGGAGGGGCCTGCGCAAGGAAGGCGGTAGGTAGAGCTGCAGGAGCGTTTGTTACCCAGTGCCTTCCCCCGACCAGGGTCTTCATTCAGCTAGGGAAATAGTAGGCGCTGCCCCACACATGGTTTAGTTCTAAAGGAGCTGCCGAGGGAATGCGCAGCCAGTCTTTCCTTTTATCCCGAGCAATCCCTACCACCCGAGGTCAGAGCGCTGCTGGGTAAACCCCTGACTGTGCTGGCTGGAAGGACTAGCCACACCTGGGACTGTAGTGCAGCCCTCCAGGTTACATGACCTACCCTGCCTGGCCTGCTCCCACACCACTCTGTGTTTATAGTCATGTGCAGCATAATGACCTTTTGGTCCATGAGGGACTGTGCGTGCAATAGTGGTCCTTTAAGATTATAATGGAGCTGAAAAATTCCTATTGCTTAGTGCCATCGTAGCTGTCCCAACATCATAATGCAACACATTAGTCACATGTTTGTGGTGATGCTGGGGTAAACCTGTGCTGCTGTCAGTTTTATAAAACTATAGCCTATATAATTATGTATAGTACATAATACTTGATAATAATGACAACTGTTGCTGATTCATGTATTTACTGTAGTTTTTATTGTTAGAGTGTACTCTTTCTACTTACAAAAAAAGTTTGCTATAAAACAGTGTGCCATGTTACACCGGCAGCAGCCTCATACATCTCGTATTTACTGTGATTCTTGATTGCATCATTTTCTCTTGTGCTTGATTTAATTTTGTGTCCTTTTTATTAAATTTAGTGCCACCTAAGTATACAGTATATAAAGTCTATAGCAGTGTACAGTAATGTTCTAGGCCTTTGCATTCACTCACCCAGAGCAACTTCCAGTCCTGCAAGCTCCATACATGTAGGAGCCCTATACTGGCATACCATTTTTTTATCTTTTATATCATTTTTACTGTAACTTTTCTACATTTAGATGTATTTAGATACACAAAAACCATTGAGTTATAATTGCCTACAGTATTCAGGAGAGTAACATACTGTCTAGACTTGTAGCCTAGGAGCAATAAGCTATAGCGTAGGTGTGTAGTAGACTATCCTATCTAGTTGTGTGTAAGTGTATTCTATGATGTTCGCACAATGAAAAATTCGCCTAATGATGGTTTTCTCAGAACTATATCATTACGCAATGCGTGGCTGTATTTCAGTCCTTCTTGCAGGAGTCCCCGGTCTCCAAGCCCAAGCCCTATAGCAGAGAACCTCATTCTCACCTTACATAAAAACCTCCTAATTTTTTGGCTGTCACTATCCAACTGAGATACTCATTTCATCAGCCTTCCATTCTTGTTCACGCCAGAGTTTGCAAACCCACTCCTGGTGGGCTGCGTTTAAGTGCAGTCTTGTTTTGACTGGAAATATTTTTAAATGTGGATGAAAAGGGAGTTCTACAGAAAGTAACCTCACAGGGTGATCTGATCATAAATTCCTAACTGGGCAGGTCATGATGGGTAGTCACACCCCAGGCATAGAAATTTTTTGGTAAAAGGTTTATCTTTGCCCTAACAAGTCCTGTCCATTGTTTCTGTGCACCTAGGTTAAAACATCTTTGAAATGCCTCTTTTTAGACCTCTCAGAAGAATAATTGCCCTCAAGAGAGTACATAATCTTGTTAACTATCCTGTAATCCGATCCCACCTTGCTTTCTCCCACCTTTATGTAATCTTCTGTAGTTGCTTTAATTCCAAATGCATAAAATAAGCTGCAAACTGTCAAACTGAGAATTTTCTCAGTCTGTTAAGATCTTGTTTCCAGGCGTATCCTCTGTTTGGCTCAAATAAATTTTTATAAAAATTCTCTACAACTTTGGATGTTCTTACATCAACAAAAATCAGATTTCACAAGAAAGCCAGAAACAGCCTCAGGAAAATAAAAATCCTATAATGGGCCTGCACTTCTTCAACGCAGTGAAATAGATCTGAAAACACCGTGACTGTAGATAGGCGTTAATTCATCTTTTTGCCAGTCCTCACTTTCCAGCACATTTCAGCCATTTTACATTACCTATCTGGTCCCTGGTGTGGTGAATTAAATTCTTGGTCTTTCCACTGGATGATCATGGATATGTGTGGATTTTGGAGTCAAACATGAGTTCTGGACCTGACTGCTGTAGGACATGAGCTAGTCATTTTTTGAGTATCATTCATCTCAGTACTAGGAACTATGTATTGGACCTACATAACAGGACCCCTGAACCTGGAGGACCGGCCTTAGAGAGTAGCAAGGGAGTCAGACATTAAATAATAACATAAGCAAAGTTTATGAAGAAACGGTTCACTAAATAAAAACTACAAATGGTTGTTAAACATATGAAATAGAACTTTGCAAGAAGAAAAAAACATGCAAATTAAGGTTTCCAAGAGATACTTTCAATCTCTTACATTGGCAAAGAACATTTTCACTGACACAGTTGCAAGGAAACATGTATTCTCATCTGTGGCTAGTGGGAATGTAAGTGGTACAACCTCCCCTGAATGCAGTTTGGCAATAACTACCAAAATTAAAAATGCACATCACCTTTAACTCAATTAGTTCAATTCTAGGAATTTATTCTATAGGTATAAACGTGAGAAATGACTTTACATACAAAGTTATTCAGTGCAGCATTGTTTACAATAACCAAAGCATGAAAACAATCTAAATGCCCAATAATTGACATTAAATAAATTATCATGAGCCCATACAATATAGTACATGAAAAAGAAAGAGGCAACTATTTACATATTGATATAGAATTGTCAAGACATATTATTAAGAGATAAAAACAAAGAGCAGAAAAATGTATGTAGTATCTGTGTTAATAAAAGAGAAGGCAAAAATAAAGAGGAATATTATGTACATAATTACTTATATACTTAGAAAATATCTCTGGAAGGATATTCAGAGCTAAAAGTGGTTACTTGTAAGGAGAATTGGTTAGTTAGTTGAAGGACAGGGAAGGAAAGAGACTTTTTACTCTATATTTTGTGTGCAATTTGAATTTTATACCATATGTATATATTACCTATTCCAGTAATAGAGAAAAATAAATAAGAACAACATAACTATATAACTAGAATTGTGGTAAATACAAAGGAGAAATATAGAGTAGTAAGAGCAAATAACAGGCAGATCTGCTCTAGAATCGTTAGGAGAGGGAAGTTCCCCCAGGTAAGAGATGCTTAAAATGAGACCTAAAGGATAAGGCATTAGCTTGGGGAAGAGGAATGAGGAAGTGAGCAGGACAGGGAATAATTCTAAGGCAAAGGGAGAGCTTGTACAAAAGCCCTGAGGATGGAAAAGGTTTGGCTGGTTTGCAACACAGAAAGACCAGTGTGGCTGGAAAGAGGTATGGGGAAGAATGTTGGTTGCAATAGGTGGAGAGGTTGGAGAGACTGGTAGTGCAGATCTACAGAGGCCATGTGAGAGATTTTAGTCTAAGGACATTGAGAAGGGATTAGAGAGTTTTGAGCAAGGAATGACATAGTCAGAATGAACATGTAAGGAGTTCATGTTAAATAATGAGTAGAGAATGAATTGAGAGTAGGACAAGAATTGATAATCTAGGAGGGACTAAAGGATACTGAGAACAAGAAATAATGAAGTAGTTCATTTGGACTAGAGTGATGGGAAAAAGAAAAAGTGAAAGGATTCTCAAGAAATTTAGGAATAAAACAAACCTCCTGTGGTGAAGCATTAGATATGGGGAAATAAGGGAAAAGGAAATAGTTATAACTAGATTTCTAACTTTAAAAACAATAGGATGCTAAATGGAATGCTAAGATAAAACTAGGCTTTTGAATATATAACTTTAATAAATTAAACGTTAATTTTTAAAGGCCAAAAATATAACAAGTGGATGAATAGCATAATTACTGAAATGTGTAGCCTTAGGGAAGATGTGGGTGGAAAGCTTATGGGCATGCTACCCACTATATAAAACCTCCCTGAAAGGGGTCTTGTGAGGAGTAAATAACATTCATTATGCCTATGTTATTAAATAGAAGCTATTCTTCTATTATTATTATTATTATTATTATTATTATTATTATTATTGTTTTAGTCTCTTAAATTATTACCATATCTTTTAAATCTCTTATTTGACCCCAGATTTTAAGAGAAAGATAGGAGTACTTTCTGTGCAAGGGCTTTTTTCATAAGAAAGCAATAACCAATGTGCTTTAATTAGATAGGTAATTAGAAAAATCTCAAAAAACATTATATCTGCACAGGAAAATCTAAAAATCATATAGACAGTGTTTTTTGTGTGACACAAGTCTTCATTTCCCATATAAAACCGCCTTGGAAGTGACCTTGCTTATCAGAATCATTCAAGTCATACATCTGGGTAAGGCATTCCAAACAAAATGGCATTTGTCTTTTTTTCCCAACAATAGCAGGAACTGAGAAAGCAGAAATTGGACATTAGTAACTTAACACCCCCAATACATGTATAAAGGATTTACAATTGATTCCCAACATTTTAAACATTTTAATATGTCATTCCTACTCTGATAGGGTATACAGTCAGCTTCGCAACAGCAGATTGTAACCTGCCAGGAAACTCTCTAGCACCTTATGCCTCTTTTGCAGTGTCTGATCCCTCCAACACACACCAAAACCATATCACCAACTCCTGAGAGCCCAACAAACACCTTGAGAAACACTTTAAAGATAATATTAAGCTCTAGGGGTCTTCATGAAGCATTTAAAATAAGCCCATTCCTGGTACCACAGATATACTCAACAGTGCATGTGAGCAAAGGCATATATACTGCATTGTTTGTAAGCAAAAATGCTGAAAACAACCCAAATGTCTATCACCAGAAATTGCTTAAATAAACCAAAGTACATCTATACTAAGACATATTTTGTAGTCTTTAAAAGACTTTTCAAGATAGTAAAATAGTTACATGAGAAAAGCAAAGTGTAGAAAATATGCTT